AGTAGACGGGTTACTATTGAGTAAATCTCTGAGATAATCTAGAATAAACTAGAAAGAGTAGTGAGGGACTTCATGGTTTGGGGATTGTGGTTAGGATCGAGCCTTTCTTCTATACCACAAGTTTCTTTTTTCACCTTTGAATAAAGTCAGTCGGATTTAACTATGAATTACTTGAAGAAGCACGTGTGAAAATGTTTCAAGGTATTCACAGTTTATGAGGCGTTTTTGAGAATGATAATTGCGAGATTACGTTATCCGTTTGTATGTGTGACCCATTGACTCTTCTGTCATTGAGCTCGTGAAGGGATACTATATGTATTTATAAAAAATTTTTTGGTGATCTGTTACTTCTGTTAATATGGATGGTAATTTAATTACTATTGTGAGTCTCAGATATGCGACTGGCTATAGGCTGTCGAAAGGAAGAGGCAGATCAATTAATTGACTATCGCCTGTGAGTGGATGGCAATTAAATATGCCTAGTAAGTGCACAAACGAAATTTTCACATAGCAGGGTGACTTATTAAACATATGGATGCGTACCTTGTAAAAAAAAACATTTTTGACGAGTGTCTTGAGGTAGAGTTTGACGGTCTATGTTCAAGACAATTGAGTGCTTTCTAAGCCCAATTCGCTATTCGCAACGGTGATTGTATGTTACTCACATCCTATGTATCATGTATACCTGCCTTTATCCGGCTTTATGGAGATCACGGAATGTGCAATAACATATGAAGAAGAGGCATGTGAATACGGTACCTGGTTGTGACTATTCACCTTCAAGCATTTTTAACTGCGTGAAGAAAGACCCGAGAGGTAGATTGTAACAAACTGCACAAAGGACTCAGGGCCATAGGGAATTAATCGAAAAGACAAAAGGATTGGAAGACAACAACATCAAATTTCGTTTTGATCCCCTGTACCAACCAGGCAAAAGCTGTTAGAATCCACCAGAAATACTTTAAATAGAGAGAGATAATTCTAGCGGGAGTGATTCAAAGATGACCAAAAGGACACGTACCGATTTATGCTTGGGCACAACCGATGCCTTTCACTTGAAGGGAAAAGTCGACTTTATAGTGAAATTGATAACATTAAATTTCCTATTGATCAACAGGTAGATAATAGAAACGCCTAATAAGACATTGTAACTCTACGAGTAGAAAGTACTCAGAAATGACGCAAGCGCGCGAGTTACGCGAAGGTGGTTTATTCGATCAAAGCTTCACGCGGTTTTAAAAGAGGGTGAAAATCATATGAAGATCAGTTACAGTAAGAAATTACGCTCATCTTTTGCTAATCGGGAAAAAAACCCCCATTTGAGGAAGTATGATAACTTTCCTTTAGCCACTTTGCTGCAAATGCTATCTACACTTGGCACTAAATCTGTCCAACTCAGAACACACCAATCCCGAAAGTAGAACCAGCTCGCCCAGGATTAAGAATTTGTGAGGTTAAGTCTTTGTCCATGTTTCCCGAGGAGCTGGTAGCGCAAGTCTGCTGACAGGCGTTGATCGATCCTTTGTCCAACCCAATGTCTTGACATTAGCAGAGCACGCGAATGCCTGGTAGCGGAACAAATCAACAACGATATATACACATCATGTCTTATAATATGAATTTGAAGGCCATACCCGCAGGCAAGCCGCCTCCAAGCGTACAATCAAACTTGGTCAACCCGCCGAGTCTCCTTGGTGCTGTCATCGCAAGCACAGTCGTCATCCAGCTCCTCACACTCGTTTTCATGCTCGTACGCTTCTACGTCAACTACCATGCGCCCAAACTCCGAATCGAAGACTATTGTTCCTGCATGGCCTGGATCGCTTTCATCATCCAAGCAGCGTTGCTCTGCCTCAACAGCTCGCGAGGGATGGCCGTGCATTTCTGGGACGCATCACTCAGTACCCTAATCGAGGGACGCCGCTTGTGCAACTTCACCTTTATTTTCTACACTATTTCCGGCGGATTTGCAAAGGCGACTGTGTTTTTGCAGTTTCAGAGGATCTTCACGACGCCGAACATCAGGGGTGCAGTGTTTTGGGTGATTAGGATCTCGCTGTGGGCGAACGCTCTTGCGTATACGACCTTCTTGTTCCTGCACATCTTTATCTGTTGGCCAAGAGAGAGGATTGCGAATCCAACTGTACCGGGCCACTGTATGGACTCAAACAGGCTCAACATGGCTCTTGGTGGCTTAAACACGTTCTCTGATATCGAGGCTTTCTTTGTGCCGGCCTGGGCGGTTTGGCGGCTCCATTTGGATGTGAAGAGGAAGCTATCAGTGTTCGCTGTGTTCGCAGTTGGAGCCCTGTAAGTCCTCTCAAACTCAATCTGGTTTTGAAATTCCTTACTGATCCGATCGCAGTGCCGTCGCAATAGGCTGCCTAGGAATGTACTACCGCGTTCTTGTCTCTCAGCGCCCTGATAAAACGTGGCTTCTCACACAGACTTCAATTACATGGTATTATTTACGCTGTTAAAATTATTAGGACCAAACTAACGTGGGCATAGTATGGCCGAATTGAGTATCGTCATTATTGTGGGATGCTGCCCGTACATTCCTCGCCTCTTGCAGAAGAAAACAAAACACTACCATTTAAGCGGGCGCAATATGGTCGGTACCATTGGAAGCAATGGTAAGAAGCGTACCGACCCTGAAATGTTGGAGGCCGAGGAAGACGAACCACAGAGACTGGGCGTTACTACCACGGTTTCGGCGGTGTAAATCTGTCTATAGTGTCGAGGCGAAAGGAAGAGTTGTGTGAGAACCAGGGCCAAACCGCTGACTCTCACGAGGAGGCACGGGTCGCATGTTGACTGTCACTGTACACATTGAGATGATTGTACTTTTGTTCGCGTCGGCTACTACACTTAATATCTGATTCGAAAATTCGGTTCTTGAGACGATAGGTTTCCATATGCTGAGCGTTGTTAACCGATCATTTTATTATAGACACTAATTGGAACAAAAAAATGGAAAATAACTCTTCAACATTCACATACATAGTCTTCCGAAGGGGAGGACGATACGTAGATCGGGCAGGTTGAAAGACCCCCGCATAATACTGATCCACGCTAGCCGCTTTCAGAGCACCGAGGCTCCCTCGTCTAGACTTACTCGCAGGACGGCAGCCAGTGTTCTGAAAAGACTTTAATCAGACATGTTGTTCATGTCTCGATGAAACCTGATACACATAAGCTCACTACCGTACCTCTTCAGCATCATGCCGGACGGTCCCCGAACAAAGACACGGCACGAGCTTGATGACGAATCTCTGGGAACTTACCTTCAACAATACATCGCAAACCTTCAGTTTCCCATAAGTTCGACAAAGATAGGCTACGGACAAAGCAACCCTACATACTATGTCGACGATGCAAGGAAATCGAGGTATATCTTGAGAAAGAAACCGACTGGCAGTATCATCTCCCCCGTTGCACATCAAGTCGATCGTGAGTACAGAGTTTTGAAAGCTTTGGGAACAGTGGAAGGGTTTCCAGTGCCGAAGGTGTACTGCTTATGTATAGATGATAAGATCATTGGGACAGCGTTTTATGTTAGTTCGATACCATGATTTCAGGCACGAAAAGTGTGAAACCATCTAACGCGAAGCAGGTTATGGAATTCGTCCAAGGGCGAATAATCACTGACCCGAATCTTTCAACACTCTCACCCACAGAACGTCGAGCAGCGTGGTTCTCTCTAGTATCAACACTTGCTTGGCTCCATTCAATCGACCCAGACTCCATCGGTCTTGAAGGTTACGGCAAAAAGACGGGCTTCTACACCCGCCATTGTAACACCTTCTCTCGAATCGAAGCTCAGCAGTCCAAAGTCAAAGATATCAAAACTGGAAAAGATCTTGGTAGAGCCCATCCCAAATTCGACGAAATCGTGGGTTATATCCGTCGCAACGTGCCTAGTGACCGTTATAGCATCATCCATGGAGACTACAAATTTGATAACGTGATATTACATCCCACGGAACCTCGTGTTATTGCAATTCTGGATTGGAAATTGAGCACGATTGGGCACCCACTTATGGATGCTGTTTACGTTGTTGGTCCATACTGGAATCGTCCGTTAGGATCAAGTAAGCCTAGAGACGACCAGGGTGGGGAGGTATATGATCTCGCGAACCAGAGAGAAAGTGGGATGCCCGGCATGGACGAGTTGTTAGACGAGTATACGAGAATCGTGGGATGGGATCCGAGGAAAGATCGGTGGGAGGTTGCGAAGGTGTTCCATCTGATGCGAGTAAGTGTTATTTCTTTTTTTTTCTGGTTCCCTCAGTTTTTGGTCCTTTGTGGCCAGCTAGTGGAGTGGGGTTCGGTGCATTTTGAGGGGTAAAAAAAGAAGCACCGCGAACCCACTTTACGACTACTACCGGATTATTGCGCAAAAAATTAACAGATATCGACCGAGACGAGGATCGAACTCGCAACCTTGGCCTTTCAAGAGGATTTTTGTCCAATTGAAGTAGGAGGGCCACGCGCTACCATTGCCTGATGTCCAGTTAGTCTTCGGCTCGGAAATGTTGTCGGTCGAACAAACTTACGCCACCCGGCCATTGAAACTCAATGAGTTCCGATATCTCAAGCGTATCCCCAAAATATAGTACTTCGATGAGCTTCAGCGCTTCTGTAATCTAAAGAAGTTTCATCGCATAAATGTACTGACCATCATCACCTAGAGCGCCACTATTACCCACGGCATCCAAGCACGGACCATCAGCGGGTCGGCCAGCAGCGAATTTTCACACCTCTATTTTGACATGGCAAAGACAAGTCTAGACACCGCGTGCGAGATGGTGCGTAGCATGAAAGGAAAAGAGATTTTGAAGAGTAGTTTGTGAAGTTTAATTGTTTGAAGCGCGCTAGTCTTAATCACAGCATGGCTAAAACGCCGCGGTTTTTCGGGCGCCATGCGTTTTCTTTCGCGCGCTGGAATTCCCACGTGGATATATTGAAGTTTAGCACACCGGCGTATATCTAAAAATGGTTTTGTAGTGTAATGGTTAGCACATCGGATTCTGATGCTTATCATTCCGGTAATGGCGGTTCGATTCCGCCCAAGACCTCTAAATTTCTTTTTTGCAGTTTTTTTTTCTACAGGTGGAGCACTTGACCTGTGCCAAGACATATCGTGCTACTCCAAATATGGTGCTAGATGCAGGGGAAACTCAGTGTTTCTGACCTCTATGTCAAAGAATGTTTTATTTTCCAATTGCCTGTAGAATCTACCATGATAAAATGTCTATGATAACGAGTATCAAGCCAAATAACAGCCTGATGCTCACGTAGAACTGAACACGGCTGTGATGGCTCACATATATCAATCAATCCATCTCCACCGTAATTCCAACAACCGTTTAAACCGTCTTCAAGAAGTCAAAAACCGCCTCATACATCCCATTATCCTCCTGATAAAGCGTTCCATGTCCCGCGCCCGCCTGCACAAACTCTTTCACCGTCACATCCGGATTCGTAAACACACCCGTCGTCTGCATTCCATACTTATACGTCGTGTAGCAATCCCCTCCGCAAAGAAGATCATACTGACCTGCGGTCATCAAAACCTTACCCTTGAAATCTGGCGAAGCAACACCACCCATACCGAGGGACGCGAACTCGCTCACCGCGTACGGCTGCGTGATGCGGAACGAGTAATCTGCGACCGCCATCTCTTCTTCAGTTTGAGGATGGTGCAAGAAGGCCTGCGCGTAGGAGTAGCGATCACCGAAGAAGAGGTAACTCGAGTCGAATGTGTCGGCGTTGGAAGGGAGGGTCGAATCCGGGAGACTGGAAATTAAACGTCCACCGAAAGTTGTGAGCCCGGATTTGCCAAGGATATTAGTGATGTCGGTCATGTTGGGGAATGCGATGCCCGTGAGGACCGCACCCTCGACGAGGTCGGGGTAGTTGGAGAGGATGCCAGTGGAGATGAAGGATCCGAGGGAGTGACCGACGACGACGACCTTGCTCGCTTTGACGCTGTCGGTGTACTTACCCTCGCGGATTGAGCTGATCATGCGGGCGAGGAGTTGGATCTGTGGCTGTGGGAGTGCGCTGTAGTTTGGTGTGCGGGTTGAGGCTCCCACACCCGCGCGATCATAGTAGAAGATCGGGTAGCCGGCTTCGAGGGCGTGGTAGACGAAAGAGTATTTCTCGGGCTTATAGGTGGAGGCCCAGTATCTAGATGTCATGTTAGCTCAGGTGTTAGGTTTAGTGTGAGAAAACCATACCTCTTGTCGAAACCAGCGCCGTGAGTCGCCACCAAAACAGTCGTATCGTTCCCAGAGGTACCCTTTTTAGGACGGCAAAACGTAGCTGCTATTTCGTACGTCTTGGTGACATTCTTAGGGGAGCTTGTAAAGGTGATGAACTCCGATGGATTCCTATTGGCCATGCGAGAATACAGATCCACGACATCGTAGTTGTTTTTGAAAGGTGGGACTGCCCATTGCAGCTCTTCGAAGTTGAGAGTGTTGCTGATCTTGTAGTCGGTACAGATGCCGTTGGACGGGTGCTCGTGTGTGGTTTGGTAGGTAGGAGAGGATAGAGCGGATTGGCACACGGCCAGGGTTGCGATGAGACCGCTTGAGTAGGATTTCATAGTGGTTCAAGTGCGAATTGGTGTTTGGGAAGTGGATGGAGAGGGTGGTGTGAATTGCAGTAGATGGGAAGGTCCTTTTATATACTATCAACACCACACAACCTCTCCGGTGGCTAGTTCATTGTGGAGTGTTTTTGCGCATCTTACTGTGTTGTGAGTTAGTATTGTAATTTGTGATTGATTCATTTTCTTCGCAGAATTCCAATCCATGCTGAATGCCAAATAATTGCTGACTGTACCCTGCGTGTCTATAAAAATCAAAGATTGTCTTCGTAATAGTAATCAAATTAGTTACTAGCGCCCTTACGTATATATAAGTTCGTACTAACAAAAAACCCTAACCTCGGGGGCTGACGCTAAAGTATTCCAAATAAAAGGCTCCCCTACCGTAAGCGAAATAGCGTATGGATTGTATGAGATGCGAATGCGAGTTGCGAGTTGCGGGTTGCGAACCAGCTCGCCTTATACAAATTTTGCGAAGAAAGGAATTTCGGTTCCATGTTGAAAATTCAATATCCTAAATGCACAAGTCATTTCAACGATAGCATGCGCAACTTGATAAAGTTTCTACCAATTTCATGATTCATTTGGTGACATGAGCATGACTGTCAATTCGTTATGTGGGTGTGACAAGATGGAATAGCGCAGCCGTTGGAATTAGGACTGCGAAGCTTATCACAATATCGTATTGTACTCTTCAGACATGCCCTATCTATCTCATCATAGTATAATTTTGGGAATGAGCTTGCCAAAGGGGCCGTGATGTAGCAACAAGCTAACTCCGTAAGCTTACGTTGCGTCGGTTAACGTTGGGAATTGCGCTCACTGATTTGGAATTTTATGTCTTCAAATTCCCATGACCAGTGACGACGTTTTCCACGTAAACATGCGGATCCTCGTCCAAGAGCGCAACTCCATTGCGTCGTGCTTCTGCCGGAGTGAATGTGCCAAATACATCTACATCGTCTATTTGATCCATGTTTGGGACAGGGAACACCAAGTTGAGGACGTAGAAAACAATCGCACTGATGAAGAAGCCTTGCGCAGTCAGTAAGCATGTATACATATGGGCAGTTTGCGCTGGACATACCGATCAAGAAAGCCATATAATACAATTGGACCAAAGCTCGAGGTGGACTGGGATCCAATCGCACAGATACAATAAGCCCGGGTAAGGTAGGAACCCAACCACATATCCAAGCTGGTATAGCTCTCCAATTTACGCCTTTCCAGAAATAATAGATCGAGTCCGTGCGATACAGATGGCTAAGCTTGATCCGTCTTTTCCGGAGAAGATAGTAATCGCACGCCATGATTCCAATTATGGGAGCCAGAAAGACCGAGAACGAGGACAAGACCATGATGAAGGTTGTTGCCTTGTTAATAAGTTGCCAAGGTTGCACTACCCAGGCGGCGAGAAATGTTATGATGGCTCCCCGTCGAATGTCGATGTATTTGGGGAAAAGGCCTGCAAGATCGATACCTCCAGCAACTGCATTACCACAAATGTTTTCGAACATGGCTGTGAAAGCAAACCCGGCAGAGAGGAAGAATACGCCAGCCCGTGCTTTTGATGATCCGTTGCCATTGTCCATCATTACTAACAGGAGATCCGGCGGGTTCCTTGCAAGCATCAGTATATGCCAAAGAAACCTAGAAAAGACGTAATCGAATCATGAATATCTTACCAATAGACTTCCCCGTAAATCTTCTGCGCAGCTGCAGCAGTTACCAGACCTACGAAAGATACAAGTACACCACATATTAGGCAGCTTGTGAGAGCACCAATCACGTAATGCCTTCGCGCAGACGCATAACGCGAAAAGTCAGATCCGTTTGTGATTCCAGCAGCTAATGAACCGATACTCTGATTAATACCGGCCATCATGAGCCAGGAAGAGCTCCATGGCGAACCTGCCGGTAAAGTTTGGCCAGTATTCCATAGTGGGCCAACACCTTTGGCAACTGCGAGGGCCCAGATCATCCACGCGATCATTCCAACTCCACACCAAGCGCAGACAATGAGGAACGGGATTTTGAACTTCTCAGGCCGGAGCCATAGAAACGGTGTCGACAAAAACCAAAAGATAACGAATCCGACGAACTCGTTTGTTGTCGTGGGCATGTTTGGACCGAAGGTATTTTCAATCCGCGCAAAAGAAGGCCATATAGCGGTAATGCAGACAGCCATCAATCTTCCACCGTTCCAGCACTGGACGGCGTTCCAGATGAAGTTCAACAGAATGCGTTGAAGGAGGGGGATATAACTCGCTCTCATACCCCACGAATAGCGGTTCTGTACTGTGAAGCCGATGTGCCATTTTAGACCCGCCCAAGCGATCAATGTCGAGAACAGGACGATCAAAATTCTACCAATAATGATGATAGCCATGGCTTGTGGGACCGATAAACCCATCGCTACATGATTCAGCGTGAAATCTCAGAATATGGTACGAATTGATGGTGCCCGTACTCAGATAAGTGTTCGGTGTCTGCCAATTCGATATATTCAAAGATGCAATGGACCAAAAGCCAAAGAAGTTGAACCAACCCCAGGTTCTCCGCCATGGTGGAAGTGGAATGAGATCGCGATTGCTCCACGCATCTGTCTGCTCGTGCTGAGATTCATCGCCTTTCAGCCGGATGGTGTGGTCGATGGACTTGAACCTCTGTTTGAGTGACATTGTGAGGGAAGGAGAATGCGATGCGCATTGGATTCCGGGGATCGCCCACGCTTTTCAAGCCTCTATCGTTCTCATATCAGGCCCTTATCCCGCCAAGAGCTGTCAAGAAGGTAGCGTTCTCACAGGGAGCAAAATCCTGGGAAGAGCTAGCTATATAGGTGTGTCTAGCAACGAATACGTACTAATTGCACCAGCTTGCTCCATTCAACAGGAGCAACCCCCTGTCGACCGCAGGATGCAGCGGGGTAAGTATCTTGATAAGAAAGAACCGCGTGCCAGGATCAACAATGCTGGGATGATACACAGTAGACGGGAAGATGATCTGATAATGTGAGAAGCGCTCTACCTAGGCAAGGTGGTTGGTTGCGCAAAGCGGTGAACACTCCCCTCGGCAAAAAGCATCCGATTCTCGGCTTAAAGATCTCGGAAGAATCTTATCAGATCATCAGGATCAACATAGTCCCTCATCCCCTCTTTTGCTCGAACTGATAAGACATCGTGCTGTGGTGATTCTTTCCCGGATATATTGGTTAAGATGGCTGTAAAAAAGAACCTGCGCATTGGTGTCGACGTAGGCGGGTATGTACAACCCTGCCGTCCAATACCCGTATCAATTGATTGATGGCCTTTGTTATTGACAGGAAGACTGACAATAATTAGTACGAACACCGATGGCGTTATCATCGATCCTACACGGTCGTCAGAAGCTGACAGAGGAATTGTCGCATGGTGAGTTCTGCCAACATTCAACGTGGCACCTGGGGGGCCTGGGCATCACAGA